TGGCGCCATGTTTGCGGTTATCGCCAAAGCGAAGCTGACAGGAAAAACGGCGACATTTGCTACGATAAGCCAGATCCGCTCCAGTTGCATTCCCAGTTCTAATCGACGGCCGAGTTGTAAATAGTTTGCACTTGTTGACCAGTGCTAAAAGTGGATCGGGCACTTGGCCACTTGGTGGCTTCTCTACTCATGCACTCGATGCGGGTATGCGTCAGCGGCTTTGCTCGATGGCGCTTGACGAATCGCCGCCCGACTTCTAAACATAGCCCCCAACCAAGATTGCTCTTGCTGATCGTATGTACTCGATTTAGAGATACCCTGTGCAGCTCTAAGGTGCCGAGTACGAGTACATGCCAAAAGTTGAAGTCTACATCCCTATTTCTAAATATACTTTAGGGAAGCCTCCTTCTGCCTGTTGCAAGCATTTGGACTTAAGTAATAAGCCCTTTACAACTTTTCAATGGGTGCAGGGTATAATGAAGCAAATCAATGCAACTCACGCCCTAGCATTTTGCTATTTAAAGTATTCAACGCCTCTAGTTTATGTAGCCAACGAACTCGGGTCGGCTGCCATGCAGCCGGAGAGTTATCGAACCCAGACCCACCCACAAATAGACGCCAGCTGGGGCTGGCAAGGCGAGGCGGTGGGGGGAGTGGGTAGTCCCACTAAACCAGTAAACAAACCAAAATACACAGCAGGCTCTTTAGTGACATAAATCATAGCGCCCCCCTCGACAACAATAAAAATCGATGCGACAACAAATAAAAATAGAAAATTCAATGCGAAAATGTGAGCGTGCCTGTATCTGTGTGTATGCGTGAGTGTGTGTGTGTGAGGGGGAAAGCGTTTAGCTTGGAGCAAAAAGCTGTTTTCGATCTGTTGGAAAACATGGATACATTGGGAAGAGTAGATTGAGGGCGGTAACAACTCGAAAATAGCCCAATCTTTGAAATCATGAGGGAGCATCTGCACTGATGTATCAATAAACTTGGCTGATGTGGAAACTCGGCGCAATGTGGCAGCGCGCGTTGCAGTGACCCAATATTTTCAAGTTAACAGCTACAGTAAAGCCTGACTTTGGCTAAGAGAGCCATTCGCTCTCTTTGGCTCTCTTCTAACGCGGCGACACACCTTGTTCTCCCACTACAACCGCCGCTCTTGGCGTGTTTTAGTAGGCGCGAGGGGAAGGGGGCTAAACTTGCCTCGACTGTGGCTTTTGTTGAATTCAGGTTTTTCACGGTGTTTTTCACGTTTGGGCCCGTGTGCTTGCGTGTGGTTAAGTCTGTTGGATCTGGCTCTGGTTGGCCACAGTTTATTATAATTTTTTTTTTTTTTTTTCGACTCGCACAGTTTACTCTTTTGTACAGTTATTAGCATTTGCTTTGCTCGTTTCCTTTATTTGTTTGTCTGCTGTGTAGCCAAATTCTTGGCCAAGCAATAACCGGTTTCTAATGCAAGTTCTTTCATTCTCCCTCCCTACCTCTCTCTCTCTGTCTTTTTGAGAGTCTTTAACTTGCATTGGCGAGTAGGCTTTTATTGTTATGTGTGCGTACATGTATGTGGCTAGTTGTACTATTTGGGTCAAATATTGTGTCCCAAATCCAAGCCACGTCCGCGTCTTCTTTATAAGGCTTTCCATTTATTGTGAAAATTCGCTTTGATGAGTGACGCATAGGTTATCTATGCAGAGTTACCTGCACCATTCATAACTGATAGTTAGCCTCGATTATTTGTACAAATTCGCACTGTTTGTTTAGGAATCTTATCGGGCCATGTACGTGTGAGTAATGCTAGCCTTATCACACATAGTGCAATGGCCAAAAAGCTTTCAGACTTCCTTCGTTCGTTTGGCATTGATATCAAACAAAATGCCAATAGAGAAAAAGCACGGAGACGCACAAAGTTTACGCTTGATAAGGAATTAACCTGCCTAACGATCAATTTCCAAGGCAGCTGTTGGTTTATTTTTGTGCCAGTGACGTCGACGCTGCCGACGCCGGCGCCCCTATTCGCTAGTCAGCGGCGGGCCTAAACAATCTTAACAGCAATTTCCACTAGCGTTGCGGTTTTCCATCTTTTAACCAGACCGAAAATGTTTTACTGTGTCGCATTTCATACATTCGATCGTATTGAATTAAATGGGGAGGTTTCTACGTTGCACGGATAAGGCGCAATAATTACTTAGGCACGCACACAACTGTATACAGTGAAAACTCAACTAACGCACAGATTCCTTCATTTTACAAGAACAATTTTTAGTCCAACTTATTTAAACAAATCCACATCTGAAGGAGACAACAATTTCCAAAGAAAACAAAATATTTTTGATTAAATGACAGCAAAATCTTGAAAAATTTACAATTTTAGTTTTTTTTTTTAAATTGCTGAGATTTGCCTTTTCTTTCTATCACCTTTTGCGATGCAGCAACAACAAAATGGGAGTCGCATGTGTCGGGTCTAAAGAGGTTTCACTGTAATTGTATCTCATGCGGCATGTGTTGAATGTTTTGATGTGTCTCCTTGACTACGCGCCATTCCCTTGCCAATAAGAATTTGTCGACTTTCCGCCCCTGCTTGTAGCAGTGACCGAAAGCCAAATGCGAAACAACTGAGAAAAACACAAAATGCGACAACGAGTGAGATAGCAACAACAACAAGAGCAACAGCAAAAAGAACTCGTAAAGTAGCAAAAGAAACAGAAAAGAAAACGTACAAAAAGATACACCTAAAGCTTAACGAAGCTATGGCCAAAAAGCGACAGCGTCAACGTTCTCGCTCTCTTCCACTCGCCACTCTACTGAGAGCGTGGTGAGAGAGTGTTTAGCTTTTATGTGTGTGCCCGTGTGCGTGTGCGTGTGTATGTGTGTGTGTGATATGAAGTCATACTGTTCTTGCTGTGTGTGTATGTCAAAAGCATAAAATTATTCGGAGACGGAGCAGGCAATCGAAAACTCTGACCACAGCCCAAAAAAAAAATAGCTTGTGTGCGAGCTAAACAACAGTTAATGGCGCGTTTGCTGTTGTTGCAATGGAATGAGACCACATACAGCTAAATGGAAAATTAAAGCTCAAGTTGAAGTTGCCGTTACTTACGAGTAAGCTGTGCTCTAATTTTCAGTTATTAATCCACAGGAAGCGTTGAATACTTTGCGGCGCTTTTCCACAATTACGTTTTCGTTTGTTTTCACTTTTCACAAACGCCTGGCAGATTTTAGTTGACTTTGCACATACGCAAATACACACACACACAGCTGCACACCAAATACATATAAGCAAATTCTTGGCCACTTTTTCTATTGAATACAAAAAAAGACAATTTGTTGTTTTTGTCGTCGTCGTCGTTGAATACCTGTTGAAAATTGACGTTGAGTGAGTAATAGAGAATAGTAAAATAGAGAGTGAGCGCAGTAATTGGGTGGAAACTAGGCGTGGGTGTGTGAAATACTGCACTAAGGCGGTACCAAAATTGATGTTGTACTATTTTTATTTATAAACACAAAATTGCGCGCGAATTTCTGCAACTGGCACTCAGATGCATTGATTATTTTTCTGGCAATTCTCTTGCCTGTTTTTATATTTTCCCTATTGGCCTGCGGCGGCTAACGTACCGTGATAAAAATATTCGAAATGCTACGCACGAAGAGCAAACTGGTACTGAGATATATTTTTACATTGAAGCGGCAGAGTCACAGTCGCAAAGCAACCACTGCCTCACGGATTGAGTTAGTATGAAAAGAGAGAGAGAGAGAGAGAGAGAGAGAAAAAGAGCGCGCATGACGTCATGGCTACAAAACGTAAGCGTAAGTGCCCACCTTCTGGTCTAGATGGCAACGCTCAACTCTCAACTGTTGAGCATCGCTCACAGCCTGAGTTTTACATGTTGTTTACTTCATTTAAATTGTACCGTTATTAATGAAACAACGTTAATTTAACTTATATGAATATGAACAATACTATTTATTCTACTGTTAAATCTAACATAACAATTTACAATGATTGTGTGATCTGAGAGATCTATTGGATTCGCATTCGAACTCCTCCCATTCTACGTGTCTTAAAAAGGCGCCTAGCTAGACGATTTGGATGATTTCCAAGGGTTATGACGTCCATGACTTTGGGTATGCCTAGGTCTCTTTCCAAATCGGAAGTTCGCATGTACCAGGGGGTGCCAGTCAGCTATGTGTTAAGGAAATAAAATATTTTAAAAGTAAATAACTCCTGTTTTTTATTTTAAAGCGCTTGTGAATGTTGCAAAGGCTTGTTTATCAAATAGAAACACAAGGTTTTCCGCTTATAAGTATGCTGTGATATCTTTCTGTGCATGCACTGCTTGAAGTCATCGCACCGGTTAAACAGCAGCAAGCAGTGCAACCTCTTCGATTCGCATATGGAAGTATGCAACGATTATTTTACTTTCGCAATATCTTTTAATTTTGCATATGAAAGTATGCAATGATGTTTTTTAGATTTGCAATTGAATATTTTCCAAAAACTCGAGTTCTTGAAGTCCGATCGCGGCAAGATTCAATCAATAGAGGAGATCAGTACGACCTCATAAAGGTATATCTTTTCAAAATCTAACTATTTTTAGCCGGAACGTCGTTAAAAAACCAGAAACTAAAATAATAACGGAATCGTATTTTCCCTTTTAAAACGCGCCATCTTTTGCATGAATTATGAAGCTTCTTTCGAATAGTAAGCGCCATCTATTGCAACTTGCTTCAAGTCCACTGCATTTTGGGAAATGTTTCAGAAACAGGATTTTTGAATGCTCTTGAGGCAAAAGATATTGGGCGAGAAATAGCGGAGATTTTCAAGTTCTAAGATATTTGAAAACTTCAAATGGCCATAACTCAAGTATTTGAACTCCGATCGCGGCAAGATTGTGCGTTTTGTAATCTTGAAGGCGTTGAGTAATGTTCAATTCCAGGTCGAAAACCATTTTCGAAAAAAACGTGAAAACACACAAAAATATTAATTTTTTAACAACATTTATTTATTCAGTGCATTATTGCTACCGCTTGCGGTACAGGCACGGCTTGAGCGAGAAGGGCTTCAGTTTGACTAGCTTGTCAACATGTTGCATTTTTCGAAATTGGAAGAAGTAGAAATAGTTCACAGCCACATCCTTCTTGACCAGATCAAATCCGCAAGATTTCATGAAGCGCACAAACTCGCGAACATCCTCGAAGCGGGACTGAATCTCTGCAATGTAGACATTGCCGTGCAGTTTGAGCACACGGTTTGCCTCCAGCAGATAATCGTTGAGGTTGGTGCCCATCAGCGAGAGGCAGTAGACAGCCACGTCCAGCGATTGCGGCTCCAGCGGCGTCTTGGTGATGTTGCAGGCAATGATGTCGGCCCGGGTCGAGACCAAGTCCATGGAGTACACCTTATTGGGTACCGATTTAGCCAGCATGCCCTCGCCGCAGCCAAAGTCACCAATGATGGCCGTTTTGGACAGCCTTTTGATGGTCTTAATGATGCGCGCCAACGGATTCGCTGGCCACTTGTCCACCTGCTGACGATAGCCGGCGTGATAGGCTTCGAAGGCATCGCCATCCGACCGGAAAAGTTGCTCCGCCTTTTGGCTGTTCATCGTGTACAGCTGCTCGTTGATGTAGCGAAATCGACCGCCCAGCAGCTCTGACTGCAGCTTATTGGCCAACGTGGCCGGTGGGCCGGCTGCTGCGGTTGTGGGCGTCGCCTCCATGGCCTGGACTGCGTCCTGTATTAAGGCTGGCTTCAGTAGTGTCAGCTGCTTCTTTTTATCCTTGGCTGTTTTGGCTGTTGGCCGCTGCTTTTCAATGCGTCCGCTTCTGATCTTGTGCATGGCCCGCAGCTCATCGTCCGCCTCATCATCCGAGGAATCCGGCGGCGGCGCTAGCGGCCCTCTGCCCAGTCTGTAGCCCGCGGCTGTTGCCCGTGTAGAATCCGTCTGATCCGCCTGCTTCTTTGCCTTTGGTTTTTTCTTCTTGAGTTTTTTGGCTTTTGTCTTGGCAGCGGCTCCACTGCCCGCTTCCTGCACGGGCTTGAACTGGATGACTTCAGCACCCTTGTCCCATGGTGGCACCTCAAACACCATATTTTGTGAAGATTTATTTAAATTGTTTGATTTATAAATAAAATAATTTGGGCAACACGTGAAATTGAATTGTTATTGTCAGTGTGACCGTAGCAGGTCATAACAAAAATACCAAAAAATGCGCAAAATAATACCATAAAACGTCTTCTTTTTAAAAGTGCTGACAACTCGATGCAAGAAGCGCGCTTTTCAAAAACAAAAAAGGCAAATCTCTTTTTAAATAAATTTTATTTTTGCACTAAACTAAAGTTCAACAAGTTTTTGTATTAATTTATAATTTTCGGTTTCTCGCTATTCACGTACAACTAATTAACTTAAAGCATATATTTTTTTAACTGATGAAAAAAGTGTGTGCTCGGAAAATTGATTTCTTCTTAGGCTAAAATCGTAATTATGACAATCAGTTTTCAACGTACAACTAATACAGGCGCCATTTGAAGGTTTTAACAATTTATTGTAAACTGTTGTTCAAATGTCTGATTTTTTTTATTAAGAAAATGCCTTAATCTATTTTGTTTCCCAACAAACCTTATGCGCTCCATCCATTCAATTTTCACATTTATTAGAATTTTCTTGTCGGTTTTTAGACAACTTTTGAATGCAGTTCCGCCTTACATTACCAACTACAAAACACTTGCGATTTACAATGGCTAAAACCTATGAAATTTCTGTTAATTTCTAGTAATATTACGACAATAATTACGCGATTTCCCTCTTGCTTGCCAACTTTGACTCTTTAGCTGCTTCAATCTTCTTTTCCGGATCTCTCGAAACTATAAACTAAATTTTTTTCCTTTGTGATCTTTACACAAATTTTGTTCACTCTCTCTCTAAAATGAATTGTTGCGCATATTACCAAAAAAGTTAGGCATACAATTTAAAGCATTTATGTTTTTAGCTCTTTGTAATACAAAAATATAATTACAACGGAATAGGGTAGACTGACTGTGCGGCTTAACTCGTTTAATACATTTAATTACATTCCTAGAGATTTTGGCAAAGAATGGAACAAATGGGGGTGGGGGAGACTGAGAATCTCTTTTTAGAATTAAATGCGCTCTAAGTAGCCCGCAAAATTGTAGTTTCCTATGCTTGATTTGTATTTAATTTAGCTTACGGTCTACGAGTAATTCAATTACAGTTAGTAGTTGACGCCGCCCGACGACAGCTGCTCGCTTGCATCTCAAATTTATTGTGTGTGTGTGTATCTTGTATTATATGTGTATTTATATTTATTATAATATAACAAGTAGCGCCGCCTAGTAACTGGCCTCGTGACCGGCTAAGATGTACAGATCGTGGCCCTCCTCGCTTCCCAGCGAGCCGGTGCGCAGCAGTTGACTCTCCAAGGCGACGACCCTGGCAAAGAAAACGAGATTGATTTATATATTCAACACCAGTAGCTATTATCGGGCCCAGTCCTGCTCAAGAAATATTACACCGCTTTTCACCCGTGTCAAAATTACTTAAAGCACTAACTTGAACTCCTCCCAAGTCATTAACATCTTATGAAGAGATTTGCAAAGGAGGCTTTAAATCAATCGGTCGAAAACCCAAATAAACAAAGGGAACTCCAATGTTTGACCAAGAAAGGAGAATATTCCTAAAACTGATCGGATGGCAAACTAAAAAGTTGCACACAACTGATTTCTATCCAATATCAAGTCTAAAGTCACCAATGCATCACTTACTCAGATCAAAAGGGTTTCTATATGTAGGTATAAGTCAGGTCGTTCCGATAGTCTTGGATATACTTACTTATCGCTGCCCAGCAGCCGATAGGTTCGACTCATGTCCTTGATCTCTTGCGTCACTTCGCCATTGCGCAGAGACTTGCCCTGCATGCCGTGCTTGTGGAATGCTAATACACTGTCCGGTAGACAAACTACAAAAAAAGAATCAGCGATATTGGATTAAGGAAAGCGGGAAAGAGATCGAGAGTGAGAGCGAGATGTCATACCAATACTGTCCACGTTAAAGTCGAAATTGAGTTGGGCGACCATCTTTTTGTGCTGCTTGGGATTGCCCTGCAGGGTGACCACCTGCATTACATTGCCATAGCAGACAAGAATGGCATCCTTCTCTACCTGATGAACGCGCACCACCTTCAAGAGATCACGACGAGGCACCATTGTGGCCATGGCATCATACTCCAAGTCCTCCGAGTGGAACCAGCTGGCACCTGAAACATGGAACACAGCATTAGTTAACTGTTGACTCAGTGCATCTAATGCGGACTTCCACTGTTCATGTTGATCAGCTCCAACTTGAGGCAGCCGTTGAGGGCTTTTCGGACGCCCGTGCAGACAATCGGATACTCCAGCTCGGGCGTAATGATCATTTCAAATACGGGCGTATGTCCGTTTTGGACGCAGCCATGGCCGCCCCCTAGGATGCTGATAGCCGGCCACTCGCACTGCTTCAGCAGCATAAACTTGTTGAGCGGATCATACCACTGCATTAGGAAGATTCCGCTGGGCGTCGCACCGCACAGATACTTGTATCCGTTGTACGGATTCCGGGTGACGCAGCACTGGGTGCAGCCCTTCGTGTCGGGCACTTTGGTGGTGAGCGCGAATTTGCGCGGCACAAGCCTCTCCGGTATCTTGTTCATATGCAGCGAGAAGCGCACCGTCTGCTTGGAGTGCAGTGCGACTAGATCGTGTCGATACAACTGGCAGGATTTGCCGGAAAGGCTCATCAGCACGTCTTTGATCACATATAGCCAGGTGGTGCGGCGCGGGAAGAGCTGATCAATGGCCGCGTCGTGCAGCTCGTTCATGTTCAGATTGTAGATGCCCTCCTCGGCCCCAATCAGCAGATGCTGATCCCGTGTCTCAGGATGTATCCACGAGGCGGTGCAGTGCACGCGCAACGGGCAGCCGTTAAAGATTTTGGAAAAGCAAGCGCCCATGTGCACCTTGGGCGTCGGTGGCAGCCCATTCGAGATGGGCCTCGGCGGCGTATGTCGTCGGCGATGTGAACGCTTTGGCGGCACAGGTGGCGTATTATTCAGCAGATCCGGCTGCGCCTCTTTCTCGACTGCAACGGGAAATGGGGATTATTTTAGCTGGACTAATCTGACCACCAATTCCCACTCACCCTCATCGTCGTCCTGGGCACCGCCGTCGCTGAGGCTGCGCGTGCGCGACGTCTTGCCCATGTCATTGAGCAGACCGATAAGCTGATCCATGGAGCTGTGGCGTCGCGGCGAGTCCTCTACTCCATTCTATTTATACCGTACACAACATAGAAATCATTCCATCTACTCTTCAATCAGCTTTAGATACTCACCTGGTTGCTCTCGCTTCGGTAATCACAGTTGCTGTTCTCGCTGCCGGTCGCGTCCGTCTGGGATGACTCTAGGACTTCACTGGCGCTACGCAGCAGATTTTGGTAAACATGCGTTGAGCTGCTGGCTGTGACGCCGGCGCCAGATAACGATGCAGATGCAGCAGCTGCCGCCGCCGCCGCTGCAGAGCTGGTTGAAGCGCTGTTGGAATGCAAGAAGCCATCGCCTGCTGACTGTGTGCTAGCCGGGGGCGTGGCAATCGCCTCGTGCCTGTCCAGGCCATTGCTGCCTTTGCCGCCGCCGCCGCCACCACTGCCGCCGACTGCATCGCCGCTGGAATTATCGAGTAGTAGGAGGCGATTATAAAAGGATGCGGATGACGCTGCTGCTGATGTGCTGCCGGATGCGAGCGATGAAAGCAACCCAAGCCCATGGCCGTCGCCACCATGAGACGCGGCTGAAGATACCGCAGCCGCCGCCGAGCGATAGTTGCTGCTATTGCGCAGATAGTGCGCAGCGGAGGCGGAGCAACCAGCGCCTGAAGTTGATGCCGACCCAGAGGCACAGCCGCCGGCGGCGCCAGCAGCAGCAGCAGACGAGCCAGACGACGCAATCGGACCGCCGCTGGGAGTCGCATTATTCATGGCAATGTCGACGTCCAGATTGATGTCGTTGTCGCCATCGCCATCGCCAATGCTGGTGGTGCGTAAATTGGAGAGGCCCAGATAGGCGCTTAGGCTCGGCATGGAGACCAACGAGGCGGAGATGCTCATGGGATTCAGATTCGAATTCAAATTGGAGGCCAAGGCGCTGCTGGTGCTGGATGTGGTCAGTGCGGTGGTTGATTGCTGCTGGTTAAGGTGGTGATGGTGGTGCTGGTGGTTCTGGTTGTGGTTGTGGTGGTTGTGCTGAGTGGCTATGACGACGTTGGCTATGCTGGTGCCGGTGCCGCTGCCCGTGACCGAGGAGTGATGATGATGATGATGCTGCTGCTGATGATGATGTTGATGGTGGTGGTAATGATGGCCTCCACTGTTTCCACTGCCGCCACCGCCGCTGATGATGCCGCCGGCGCTGCTGTTGCTGCTGCCTGCGCCAGCCCCGCTGTAGCCCCCATTTGTCGATGCACCGCCCCCGCTGACGATGCCGCCTCCAGCGACGCAATTGTTGGAGCAGCTGCACTCGGCACTAAGTGCCGAATCTTTGGTGTCATTCAATGGCAAAGTTGCTCTAAGAGCGACACAGCGAGAGAAAGATAGGGATAGAGAGCGAGAGAGATCCGCGTGGGAAGAGAAAGAAAAAGAAAGCCAAAGTGTTTGAGCTTCTTGATAAACGCACAACTATCACTTTGTAGGCCTCTCTAGGGGCGAGGATTTGTGTTCGTGGAGTGAGCCGAAGGTGTTGTTTTGTTGTTGCGTGCAGCTTCAGACTGGACGTGTAGTGGGAGGGTGGACAGAATTGCATTCCAGATGGGTTAAAGACTGCGTATGTGTGTGGGTGTGCCTGGGTGAATCTCCCGTGGATATATGTGTTGGCTTATGTTGTTGTTATTTTAGTTGTAGTGGTTTTTGTTGTTGTTGTTGTTGTTGTTGTTAGTGTGGAACACATGCATTCGAATAGGTTGGACAACACCGCGAAATAGAGACAGGACTAGGAATGGTTTCTATAATAAAATACGCACTGGTCTTATGTGACGCAATATAAATAAATAAGGTAATGCGAATGCCATAAATTATGCATGAGATGCAAAACTGTGCACAAAA